GTGGCTGAAAGTGCCAGATGATCCAATGATGTAACCATCCGAGGAGGTGCTGCAGCGGAGCCCTGGGGAGTGCACCGTTTCGGGTACAACAGGTAGGTGCCCGTGGCTGCACGCTGTCGTTGAAATGCACCGCTTCGACCACATCGCGTGAACTTGGCGCACGTTGCGGTCTTGGATGTTGCTGGAAGTGCCAGATGATCCGACAACGTAACAATCCGAGAAGGTGCTGCAGCTAAGTCCTGGAGAGTGCACCGTTTCGGACACAACATGTGCCCGGGACTGCGCGCCATTGTCGGAATGGACCGTTTCGGGCAAACTCGGCCGCACATTGTCGGCTTTCTTCTGCGGCGCGTCTTCTTCTTTAGACGAGCGTCTCCAGTCACGCCGGCAGAAGACAGTAAGTCGGTGTGTCGCTCGCGTAGCATGAGCAGGAAGCAGACGAACAACACGCGCTGAACAGGAGCCGGCGGAAGACAAGCAAAACACAGAAAAAAAGAGGGCTAGCAACCTTGGCCGCATCAACAAATGGGAAGCGAGAAACGGGGGGCTCGCCTGGCACGCTCGCGCTCCAGCCAATAAGCGGTTGGGAAGAGAGCCTTGGAAAAGGGGCGAGGGAAGCCATGCCGTTAAAGAGACGCCATTTTAAAGGGCGGCAAAACGCGCACAAAGAAATCAGTTTCAAAACAAGCTCAAGATGGCGGCGATCGGCCAGCTCCTTCGCCAGCGGCACGTGCGGGAAGTTCTAAGAAATTTTACCTTTCGAGGAGCGTTTCGCGACTCCCTTGGCGACCTTATAACAAATTTTAACCCATTTACTGATCGAATTTCGCGTTCACAATTTGAGAACACGTGCGTATAGGTATAAGAATTCTAAATATAGAATGTTCAAAAAATCGACTTTTTCACCAATTATCACCATTCTAGGACCCGCGTCCCCCTTAAGCGTGTTCGAATTAATGAGATTAGACTGTGTTTATTTTCCGTCGCACGCGTCGTCCTATAGCAGTACACCGGGCCGCGAGGCGGTTTCCTTCTTTGCACGCTTAGGTGTGCGCCCATCTGAGCATACATTGCCACAAACTGTTATAATCGATGCAACGAAATAACGAATATAACGAAGCAATTGTGGCTCCCCTTCAACTTCATTATAACGAGGTTTGAGTGTACAGTGGAATCTCGATGATACGATCCCGGCTAATACGAATTTCCGGATGATACGAATTTTTTTGTGGTCCCTGCCGAGCCCCATTACTTTGCGATGCGCTAGAGTATGTTTGTTACGAATTGATTTTCTGCCCGCGTCGTTTCATACGAATGAACGCCGCTCCACTGACGGCCGCGAAATGGAACAGCGCTGAGCCGCGCGCCGGAATGCGCGCTGCACCGCCGGTTTGGCATTTTGCCAACGGTGCCTGCCATCAGCGCGTGGCGGCCTCCAACATTGGCGCGCGGCGTGCGCAATATCGGAGACCTCAGAGACCGCTTGCGCCCTTTGATTTCGGTTTAGGTTTAGAGATGGCGCTGGCCACGGTTTCCTTTCTTTCTCTTTTTTTGGGTGCGGCGGCGACGACGCGGCGGACTGCGCGGGTCAAGTGGGGCGGTGACGCTTTTGTTGCTGTTGTGCTTTTCCTCTTTCTCTGCGTGGCGTTGGACGGAGTGGCTGCAGTGCTGTGCTTCGGGCCGCGTTCTTTGTGTTTGCGACATTTTGCCTAGTCGCAACGAGCTATGTCTCGCAAGCGATAAGCGCTCTCCTTTAAGGAGAAATTAGACATCCTTCGAAAGGTCGATGAGGATCCTAAGAGAAAGCGGACGGAGTTGGCTAAGGAGCTAGGCCTTGCAACGTCAACACTGAGCACAGTTGTTGGACAGCGAGAGACCATAATGAAAAACGTGCTTTCGTTCAACGTCAACGCAAAGCAAGCGAAGACCGCTCAGCACGTGAAACTTAAAGAGACTCTCCTGACTTGGTTTAAAGAGGTAACCGCAGATGGCGTGAATATCGATGGCAAAGTTTTGCGGGAGAAAGCCGATGAGTTTGCACTTGCTCTGCATATCGACGAATTTCAGGCCTCAGGTGGGTGGCTGCAGCGCTTTAAGACTAGGCACGCTCTCGTTTACAAAAGCGTCTGCGGCGAAGCGAAAAAAGCTGACGAGGCAGTTGTCAGCGACTGGTTAGAGAAGCTGCCGTCACTCATTGCAGAGTATGAGCCTCGTGATGTTTTTAATGCTGATGAGGCAGGTCTCTTTTTTAACCTGCAACCCGAAAAGAGCCTCTGTTTAAAAGGCGAAGCATGCAGAGGAGGCAAAAAAAGCAAAGAGCGTATTACTGTGCTCTTGTGCTGTAACGCCGACGGATCGGAAAAGCTTAAGCTGACCGTAGTCGGAAAGTTCCAAAAGCCCCGGTGCTTCAAGCGCGAGAGTCGTTTGCCGTGCGTCTATCCCGCAAACAAAAAGGCGTGGATGACGGCGGCGTTGTTTGAAGAGTTTTTGTCACTCCTGGACAGGAGGATGGCTTGTAAGAATCGGAAGATTCTTCTTTTTCTTGACCAGTGCACCGCCCACTCGAGGCAAGTAAATAAATGCTTTTTACGTACTTGTGCCTGGATGAGTTCACGTCTGACTCTTTGTTAATTTAGCTAGTTTTATTTGTTTCGATGATAGCAATTTCGGCTAATACGAATATTTTTCGTGACCCCGTGAGATTCGTATCATCGAGATTCCACTGTATTCGTAACACCCAAATTTTAGCCCAACGGGCATGGTAGAATTTTCGCTGGGAATTTTCATGATTTCGTATCAGCTGGTTTCGCACCACTGAGATTCTACTGTACATTTAGATGAACGTCTTCTAAATTTGTTTACAATAAAATGCGGTGGGTTGGCAGGAAGCCTGGATCAGACTGGGCTGCATTTTAGTCAATGTGGCCAGATCATGCACAGAAATTTTGATTTCTGGAATATTTTCCTGAGAATTGTACGAACGGAAGAACCGGTCGAAATCCCGGAGTCTCCCAGAAAATCCGATAGATTTGGAAGGTATGAAACAGCTGCTTAAATGGTACAACTATTTCTATATGATTGGTTTTGGGCTTGTATTCTGGCCGTCTTAGTAACTGGAACTCTTGTTAAATGGAACATTTTTTCTTGCTGTCTTCAGGTTTCATTTCATGAGAGTCTACTACATTCTTAGAATGGAACCAATCAACTCAGGACCTCTAACCAGTATGCATACTTTCACCTGCACCACTTACACGTTACGTGGCATAAGCATACATAATTTGGCTCATAACAAGATCACAGACCGTGCTCTTTTTAGGAGACCTAACACAAAGCAGTGTGACAAAGAGCTCTGTAGAGTAATTGGACATATAAACTTTACGTTAAAGCATTTATTTCTGCTCTACTTGATGAGCAGTCGAACCTCTTTATAAGAGACACTGATATAAGAGATAAGGAGCACCAGCATGCCTATGATAAAATATGGGTCGATAAAAAAATGCTTACGAGGTACCTTGCTTTTAAGAGACGTCTCATATAAAAGATAAGAATTGCTGCTCAGAGCATGCCTCCTATATAGGGATTTAGCTGTATAGTAAATTATTTTCGAACTTGATAAAATGAATATTTTGTCGAGTTTAAATACAGCCACATAGCAGTATGCGTCCTGTATACGTTGCTATAAGCACTGATTTGCATATAATGAGGTGCCTCACATTGCAGCACTGCTATGACAGTGACTGCATATCTTAAGTAAAAATAAAAAAAAAGCTGAGATTACCACAAGTATAGTTAATACAAAAATGCAGTAAAGTTAAAAAAAGCACCATACTTATTCCCCAGTTGTACAACAGATTTGTTAACAAGCCAAACATTTCTTTTTGCATGTCAGTACTGTGCCACCCGATTGGTCAAGTCATGTTTCGAGACCAAGAAGCAAATATAAATTGCTGATAACTTGAAGCAATAAACAACTTCAGTGTTGACCGCAGAAAAACAAAGGTGACACATCGGCTCAGCTGCATCGGAAAGTCATTCGTGTTTGCCTTCTCCGCACCAGACAACACTCAACGGGGTAGAGCTTTCTCTTTTTTTAACTTGTTTTTCTACCCTTCCCACTGCCCCTCCTGTTTCTCAATTCTATTTCTGTATCTTTTTTTTACTGCCAAGCCACTACACTGTGATCCACTATAAAGGGCATCATCACCACTATCATCGTTATCGAATGTGGGTGATCCTGCAAGCCGGCACTTCGCTTCGCTCTGTCCGCTATGTCACAATTTATGTTGGAACCTCTGGGTGATGTTTTAAGAAACTATTCACACTTTGAGACAGTTTTCTTTCATCCTGTGAACTCAAGTGAGGCATGTGGGCCCAGGGAATGATGGGCAACAAGTGTTTCGCCCCACGTTGCATGACAGAGTACAAGTTGTGTACCGGAAAACTCTCACCGTTTTTCACGCCGAAAAAAGAACACTTTCGGGGATGGAGGAATGCCATATTTTGCAAAGGTTATATGTTGCCGCCTACTGACCACCTCTGCAAAGGGCACTTCGGGGCAAATCTGGGGACCAAAACGTGGGAGACTTTCTCTACAGTGGTAATGTCTCGATTTGCACACGCCGGAAAGTGTTTTTCTCAAAAGATGCAGTGCCTACTCCAGGCTTCCCAAGCTATCTGTTGTAAGAAAGATAGGAAAAAAAAAAAAAAAAACCACTGACCCACTGAGAGGCACAGCAACACTGTACCTTTATTGAAGCATCACAAAAATAGCCCTGAATGCAGTGATGTAGTTCTTGGTATAAATTTTGCGGGTGCACTTCATGACTGGTGGACCCCGTTAGTGCAGTGCCATCTACTAGAAAGTAGTGAACCAAAACAAAATTTTCCCACGTTCACTCACTGGATTGAGTCACCTCTTTTTCCTCGACACATTTTGTTCCCCTGTGTCAAAATACTTACACAAATCAACTGCAGTTGGTAAATATCACACATTCACTTACCTGTGCACAGCAAACAGCAAGGCAAGGGCAGCCACCGTCTTTTCACCACCAGACAGATTACTCATCGGTTGGAAACGTTTGCCAGGCGCCACGCAGTTGTAGTTGAGGCCCTCCAGGTATGGCTCCTCGGGGTTTTCAGGTCCGAGGAATGCTTGGGCACTGGCATTGTTCGTCAGCGCCTTGTAGATCTCGTCGATGCGGTTGGACACCTGGTCGAAGCAGGCGGTGAACTTGCGGTGGCGTTCACGCTTGACCTTCTCGAACGCCATCTTGGCCTTCTTGGCGCGCTTGCGTGCATTCTCAAACTCTGTGTCTGTCTCCTTTCAGTCGTTCTTTCACACCGTCCAGCCTGCAAGCACAACTGGCATTTAATCGTGAGCTGGCAAAATTCACTGCCGCTATTATGACACCACAGCCAAATACTCGAAAGGGTGTCAATTTTATATAGCCACCCATTTGTATCTCATCAGCCTAAAATGCAGTTCGCAACGTAAAAAAGTTTAAATGTGACATTTTTGCTTTAATAAATGCACTCAAATTTTGAAACTTGTCACTCGTGGTCACACAATGTCCAAGCTGTTCAAGGTGAAAAAATTGACACCTGTGACACCTCGATAAAATTTGCAGCAGTCAGTGCTATTGAAAGGCAAATGCTTACATAACACAATTCAGAGACAGCAAGCATTTCAATGTCAAATTAGCAGGGTAATACAATAAAAACTCGTTAATCTGAACTTAGTTAATATGAACTGACACTCTGGTCATAGCACAGCCTTGTGTATTTCTAATGGAGGGAAACTCCCGTTAATGCGAACGCGTTGGTATACACAACAAATATTTCGAACTGGGAGCCGCTTGTTTTCATCACTCCTCGCAAAAGTCAGCCCAGAGTGAATTTATATGTGTTGCAAAACCAAATCAAAACAAACCAAGTTCACTACAGATGCAAAACAACGAAACAGGCACTATTCTTAGCAGATTTGAATTTGGAGCTTGCGGGCAAGTTGCAAACAACATTCATAAAATTGCGGCAGAAGGCAAGCAAATTGAAATTACTACCGTATAAACCGGACTATATATAGGTCGAGTGGGAATATAAGTCGATCCCCCAAGGTTACTAAACAAGAAAAAAAAGAAGGAAAACAACCCAAAATTGCCGACCGACATTTATCTGCGAATTGGGCGCACCGCACCTTGATCATCGGAGCTCCCCTCAACCACCATCGCAACTGTTCCTATTTGTCAGACGAAGCACCACTGTCTTCTGAAGACGAGAGTTTGTCGCTGGCCGCCTCCCACAGTGCGTTGTCTTCCGTGCCATACAGCGAGTTGCTGATGGAACATTTCTTAAAAGCATTTTCCACCATAAAATCTGGCAAGGAACGCCAGGCGGAAAGCACCCAGCCACAAACAGTTGCAAGCGGAGGCCCCTGTAGGCGGCCCGTCGGTGTCTTCGGGTTGTTGCCGGGCATCCACTTCTGGTACTCCAGCCGCACTGGGTCCTTGAATGGCTTGTTTAGCACAACACCGATCGGTTGGAGGGTGGACGTCATACCACCTGGCATCACGGCGAGGTCCGTTTTTCCATCGCCCAGTGCGCGCTTCACAGCGTCGGTTAAGTGACAACTAAACGCATCTAACACCAGCAAGCTGCAAAGACACAGCTGTGCACCTGGCTGACAGTTCCAGACTACTCGTATCCATTCCAGCATCATGGCCGTCCATGTATGCCCTTTTTGTTGACGCAAACGACAACACCGGGCGAGAACACTTCCTTCAGCATTGTCTTACGTTTGAAAATGATGAAGGGGGGAAGCTTTCTACCATCTGCCATGCATGCCAGCATGACGGTGAAGCGCGAGTGCTCGTTGCCAGTGTACAGCAGCTTCATATCCTCGGCGCCACGCTGCATGATCATGGTCGATGAAGGCATGTCAAACCACACGGGGGTCTCATCGGCGTTGCCAATCTGCCCCATCATGTAGTTGTTCTGTTCCCGAAGCCAGTTTACGAAGCGCTGAAAGTTTATGAGCTTGTCCTCGAACTCCTCTGGCAACTTTTGACAGATAGACGTGCGCCGCCGAAGGGAAAATCCTTTGCGTCGCATAAATCGATGCACCCAAAAGTCTGGCGCACGAAACTTTTCTCTCGTGAGCCCAGCTTCTCGAGCGAGTTCCACGGCTTTCTTGCGAATAGTATCCACGGTCACTGGCAGCGAGCACGCATGAACTTCCCACACAAAGTTCCTTAGCGTATTCTTCAGCTGCGGATGAATCACACTTCACCCACGAAATGACATTTTCCAAGGATTGCACATCTGCAGCTTCCCTTTCTGCACCCTCCAACAGCGCACACTTTTTTCTGATACACGAAAGCGGCGCTGAGCAGCCATATTCCCATTCACTTCTGTGAAGTCAACAGCCTCTAGTTTAAACACAGTTGATTACTTACTGCCTTCTCGTACCGCTACCCGTATTCAGTGAATAAAAAAAGACCGCTAAAAATGGAACACAATGTCAAGCGGAGCGAGAACTTAGAACAAATCAAAAGCAAATCACGAACAAAAAAAAAAAAAACACAGACAAGAGAGGAAAAAAAACAACAACCTGCTATTGGATTTGGATGCGAATATGGCCATGTCCAGGTTCTCATGCACATGCGAGCGACATGTTGCCAGGCAGCATTGCACTGTCGGCTAGACACCGCTATATAAGACGAGGGGCGACTTTAGCTCGTTGTTTTATTTAAAATATCTCGACTTATGTTCCCGTTTAGAGGGTAATTTTAATTTTGGTTGCATTAACACTGCCCTGTAAATAAATATGTTTTGGAGCATAAATAGCATCATACACCTTTATTAACATTTAAATTCTTGTGTCCCAAAACCAAGATGTGACCATGAGAGATGCCGTAGTGGAGGGCTCTGGAAAATTTCACCATCTGCTGTTCTTTCACATACACTGATATTACGCAGCACACAGGCTTCAACCATCTTTTTTCCACCAAAATGCGACCACCGCGGCCCGGGATCAAGTCTGCGACCATTGGATCATCCCCCGAGCACTGTAGCCAATTATCCACCATGGCGGAAGCGCCGTGTACTCTGACATTAAGGCTCACTGCTTGCATGAATGCCTGTCGGTGCTTGTTTCTGCAGTATTTCAGACAAATCAATTCTTTCTGTTCGCTGTTAGAGCTCAACAAACTTAATTTAAGAAACCACCCGTCATAAACGTGTAGTAGCGCCTGATTCTTGATAATGAGTCCAGAGGTGGCTTTTTCGGGTTCTGTCAGCTTAGTGCGGTAGTAGAATGAAAAGCTGGGCTAGTTGAAATGCTAGCATATGATTGGTGCAATGATATGATGAAGACATAAGAACACAGGGTGTACGCGACAAGTGCTCGTCGTGTACACTGCGTGTTTTTTACGTCTTCATTTTTATCATTTTATCAATCATTGGCATTATGTCTATTCATTTTAATGCCCGCAGGCTAATTCCAACTTTGATTAATTCGAACAATTTTATAGTCCCTTTTGAGTTCAAATTAACAAACTAACAAAATTAACAAAATCCGGATATACTTAGAAGATGTTTGAATGATGCAGCAGCTCATTAAGAAGGGATAACGACAGAACACAAATGTGACCAATAACATCTAAAGGATCTTGCTAAGCCTCTGCAACATAAGTAGAAAGACAGCACAATGACATAGGACTTAACGACCAAAAGACTGTGGCATGATTGGTTATCTGAAAAACTTGCTTAGCCAGTACATTCTACATATGTTGTATACGTTGTCCCTATACCATGTGCTGTAACTTTTTTACATTCCACACAAACGTGACGTACTTTTCCATTGCCCTCATGTTAGGCGCCTGGATACGCTGCAGGTGACTCTGCATGTCTGTGATCTCCTTGTTGAGGCGGTTCCCCTCCCGCTTGACCTCTTCCGGCGTGTCCAGCTGCAAAAACAATGTGCGCGATCCACTGAGCGACTTCACAGACCAGCGTCACATTGTTGTTTTTATAACAATAAGTTCAATATTTCGATGACCAACTTTGTCATCAAATTAAAACATATAATGAGAGTTTCTCCAAGCTTCATATTGGCTTAATGAAATCCCTCACAAGTGCGACAATATGTGATGTGGGTCAAACAACACTGATTGTATGCATCAGTGGAACTTTTAAGGCTCAACCTTTGGAAATTGAAAATCATGGTGCACAAATCACACTTTACCAGTGGCACCTGAAAAGCTGTCAGATAGCCACACAGCTTGAAGATAGCGTAAACTTTTAAGACACCTGCCCACCTTTTCTCTCAAAGGAACACTCCTTAAAGCCAGATTCATGGCGACACAGAAAAATGCCTCCACACAAAGTACAGAAACGTGTAGTACAGACACTTAGAACGTGCCAGATGATAAAACAAAAGAAAAAAAAAAACAAATACAATAACAATAAAAAGGCAGTGTTAATGAACTAAACATGATCTGCAGCACAGAAGGAAGGCAAAAAGAATTGGCACTCGTGGGTGATAATCCATGCAAAGGGCTAGACACAATGACAGCACAGTACTTGTCTCCCTGTGTAATGGAGACATGACAGTAGTTCTCTTATATCTTCTAACAGCCAGCCACCTAAAAATGCTCTTGCTGTACAACACTCTCAAGTGCACACATCACACCGTACCGCTTCCAGTGTACAAGCAAGACGTGCAATGCGGCTTAGGCATGACAGGTTCAGGTTAGCTGTGCTTAGTTTCCATACAAGTGCCGTTTGTGGAGCTATGATGAAGAATGGCATGAATGCATACTCTGAATGCCTGCATGTTTCCATCTACTCAAACATGAACAGCGAGCTAGTGAAGAACTGGCAGTTTAGCAAATGTATCGGCCCATGAAACATGCGACATTATTGATGAAAGTGACATTTTTGAGCAACTGCAGGGGCAGTAAACTTGACACACTGGAGGATGTTCAAGACATATGAGGCAGCCACATCTGAAGGCTGCGCAGCCTAAAGTTCCAATATCTGCACTCCATCTTCAACAAAGCTCACTTTATCTCCCGTCAAAATGCAGCGGCGGGAGCCAGGAATTTAACCCGGGTCTTCAAACTCGACTGCGTAATAGCTTAGCTGTCGGAATGGGCGAATATTTGAGTGCTTCGAATATTCTAAGGAATACTATAGAAATTGAAATGAACAAATAAACGTATGTCTGACCACACGTGACTCCCTGAAAAAGTGGTCTCACTGCAGCATAGGCCTGCTATGCTGTGAAACACCTTTCCAGGAGAACCCACACTGCTGCAAAGATGCACTTTGAGCCTTAAGCCAACTGCAACGAAATTTGACTTGGGCAGAATAGGCTCGGAATGCGTAGTATATGCTGGGAAAGACAGTGAAAAAGCTTTCAATCGCATATTTCAATTGCAATTGGTGCTCTAATTGTCAGCTAGCAGACGACAAGGAGCTCTAGCGATGTGCCCAGGCAAATCGGACACACACGAAAATGACCTCGATTGCAGCTCACCACTGCTTGTGAGCAGAACTCCCAACAGCTGCAACCCGTTCCTTTTCTTTGTGGTGGCCCTCTATGAGCGGATAATTCAGAGGAGTCGACTATTTTGGATACAAAATGTGGCACTGTAGGCTGCTGGGACATATTTTATGGCTTGGACCAGCTTTCACGCCTTTCCGAAGAACGTGAAGCTCCAAAAGTTGCGGGCTATCGGAGTGAGGCAAAAGGAATGGAAGTTATCCAAAAGCATTGTGCTTTACACCGTGCACTTAGAAGATCACGAATATAAACATGACCGGTGTCTCTCTGCCCAAATACTGTCGAAACTGAAAATAATGTTAGATCCTGACGCTGTGTCTTCAATATTTAGCCACTGTAAACACAACAACAGGAAGCCTCGACCGGAGTATTGAGAAGCACTGGCAACGCCATGTATTTGTATTAGACAGCTTTAGTACAGTGTAAATTGCTTGCGTTAGCATGTTTGGCTTGCTAAATTATAGCATGATGCTATTCCAAAGACAAAACCAGTAAAACGATGCCCCGCAAAGTGGTATACTAGCTGCGCCATCTATAATCATGTAATCAAAGCTCAAAAGTTGATCAGCTCGCTTCTATTTAGGAGCAGTCAAAGCAGCGAAGTTCGTCAGAAATATAAGTGTGCTCGGTTCAAAATACGCCCATAAGCGCAGTACTATAACAAAACGGATTGTGCCACGTTCGGTTTAATATAAATTTTTTCGATGCAGACAGACAAGTATTTGCAGAAATGTAGGGACACTTTTGGTAAACATGGGAGGTTGCAAACCAAGCATCGGTATTAAAAACAACACAGTCTTATCATACGTAGTTATCACCGAAGCGAGGATATCCGAAGCGTAAGCGAGTAGCATCATTTATTGTGAACCAATACGTATGCCAAAACAGCAGGACAAGAAGGTAGGTGCAAAGCGGGCAGCTATTATTTAAATACGCGCTTTAATGAGCTCTTGTGATCATGTATAGTTCACGGTACATGTTTACATTGTTTGCTTTTTCGTTATCATTTAAGGAGAATACTCTGGAGCATGGCCGCAAAGCGCATACTTTGGAGCGCAGAGCAGACGAGTTGCCTGCAGCGGTCGGTCTCTCGAGCTGCTGTCTACGTCACTTCCGGTCGGCTTTAACAGCATTGTTTTCCCTAGTTTCAGTATCAAAAGTTGCGTTGTTGGAGACTTCTTTTTTCTTAATTAGGTAACCGCTTGCATTTCGAAGATGAAATTTGGCAGGCAGCACTGTCTCCAGCTAGACTGCCTATAAGTTGGTTGTTATAAGTGCACGAAATTTCGTTGCAGTTAGCTTTTATATGCCCATCTCCACCTCAATTTTTTTTTTCATTTAAAAGTGTGTTAAGAAGGCTTTTATCTGCTAAGACAAATTTTTTAAATGAAACATATTTTACTGCTTATAAACTCGGGCCCTTACTGTTCAAATCCCGCCACTAGAATTTGCTCCCACTTCACTAAAACCAACCAAAAAAAAGTGATGCTCACAGTGGCCTAGTTCAAATTTTAAAAACACTGAGCAGGTCGTAGGGTCAAGACAAAAACTGCAAAAAATTTTTGTACGATATGTTAAACACTCAGACCTCATTATAACAGTCACATCTACCATGAAAATAGTTTGCTATATCCAAAAATTCATTATACAGTCGAGTCTGCTTATAACCAACATGAGCCTGACGCGGCATCCGTTCGCTGTATCCTGAAGTTCGTAGTATATGAAACAGTTTTTAAAAAAGTTGTGAGTGAAAACACAAACTTTTCTGCCTAAGAAAGTCCGTGATGCACGTGTTTCGAAGAGCAGAAGCGATAAGGGCAGTCTCGAGTTTATTTAAAACGGCAGGGTGCTCGTTCGCCGAGGCCCGTGGCATAAGCTGCATGAGGCACTGGCTCCAAAGTTTCGTCGTTCTCGCAATCCGATTCCACCAAATCACTCTCGCCACATCATTCACAATGCCCTAATCCGTGCCCAGTTCCGCAGTGTCGGCATCATCATCGGGCATAATTAAACCATCACAACAGATGTCCCAACTGCTGTGAAGGTCAAAGTCGACGACACGCTGCTACAAATCGCTGCCAGGGTGATCTTGTTCGGAAGCTTCAAGCTCGACATCGGGCACGACGTCGATGAAGTCGGCCTCGCGAAGCAGTTTCGTGCGCATGTAGCCGTCACCACCGTCCATGAAATTTTCACCATCTCCACAGCTGAAGGACCCCCGAAGCGGCAAGTTTGGTGCCAGATAGTCAACACCTATGAGCAAGCGCTCCGCAACGTGGCACCTAATGCACAGATTACGCTCAAGCCAAGCAATCACACCTTTGACGTTTCGTTGAGCGGCAGGAAAAAACGTGCAAGTTCTCCCGTCTGCCATACTGACCACACACGCACACCAAGAGCGAACAAGACGTGCACAAATGACACACATGCCAGAACGTGTGGAACAACTCTGGGCCCGTTTCCAGTCCGAAAACAAAACTAACTCGAGCCAGCGTGGCTGGCATCGCAGAGCGGTGGAGATGGGCGAAGGGGTTGTGATCAAGAGAGGAGAGCAGGTTTGCGAGAGAAGGGAAAGGAGTTGCGATAGAGTGAAGAGAGGGCGACCTTGAAAACCAAAACACACGGGGAGGAGGCAGGTTGGGTAGCTTGCTTGAAAGGTCTGCGAAACTCACACGTAGAAAAACTTGGAAGAGTGCCCTGCGCGCGTAGAAGTCAAAGCATGGCCGCCTGGATCGGTGCGTGCAGCGATGTTCAAAGAATTGCGGCCATGGTAAAAAAATCGTATTGTTGAGCCAGTGGGTTTGCGTGGCCTTACGAACTTCGACATTTCGCGATGCGCCCCATGCGAATTAACAGCCGTTTTCGCGCTTCCGCACGCATGCACAGGGCATGCTGATTTGAGTGCGAAGTGAGCGAGACCAAGTCCTAAACACGAAACGAATAGCAAATTATCAGGGTCGGTGGGATGGCGTACACGCGGGCACTAGACGCAGACGATCGCATACGGTTGGCGGCCAACGATAGTGGAAATGGTCTAATTACTCCAGGCCGGCGACGCCGACGACAGTACCAGTGGTCAAAAACAGGGTAGATGGCCGACCGGTCTTCGAAAGATCGGTGGCATTGTGAAAACACGGGCCTCGTCTGGCGATGCGGGGTGCTCAGAGTAGCAGAGCCGGGGGACAAAGGATGGAGAGGTGGATAACAAAAAGCGGTCGGGGAGAGCGACAAGTAGAGGGGCGCAGAGGCCGGGTCAGCGTTTAACAATAAGAATGTATGAGCACCTCGCCGATGCCTGATCGGCGGTTGAAAGTGGTTTCCCGGGAAGTCGTCAGAGCGTCGACTCCGTTCGCTGTAACCGATCAGCAGCGCTCGGAGACGTTCGTTGTAAGTGCAGTTTTGTGCCATTGAACCAATGTATATTTTCACGGTCAGGTGGATATTGTTCGTTTGAAACGAAAGTTCGTTTTAAGTGGGGCCGTTATATGTCGGTTCGACTGTAAACGATTAGTTGTAATATTTTATCTGTGGTAAAGCTATTGGTCACTTTCTTTGATATAACCAGTAAGTTGTTATATCGAGGATTGAGTCTACATATGAACTATTTGATTTTAATTGATTAAATAAAATCACTATTTGTTTTAAATTCATTTTGAACCTCAACTTTACTATTCATCCATCCTCCCTCCTTAGCTGCTAGCTACCATGGCGTGCACTGACTTCCAAGATCAACACGACTTCCAAAATAAACGAGCTGAACCGTCTCGGAGGCAATGAACCAGGACATACTGTATTTATTCGAATCTAGGCCAATAGCTTTTTCAAAGTTTTTGCATCGAACTCCAGGATCGATTTATATTGGAGAATTTCAAAAAACACGCCATTTTTCATTGAGAAAAGTAGTGCACAACTAGCGCCACCTAGACGGTATTACAGTAGACTCCTCTTAAACGAAACCTGAAGGGACCAGAAAAATGTGTTTTCTTTAAGAGGAGTTTCGTTTACTGAGGGATAAACAGGGGTACAACATTCAAATATAAAACCAAACATATTAGTGGCAATAGTTCTATTTAAGCAGCAATTTCATTTAAGAGAGTTTCGTTTAATGGGAGTCTACTGTACAGCCATTAATAGCAAAGTCAACACCTGGCTTAAGTACACACGTGAGGCCGCCATTTTGATCTTTGTGGCAATTGTTGAGGCGAGCCGTTTGTCATTTTTGATTCAAACTTCAAGTTGGCTGTGTGTGGTGTAGGCAATGACGCCAAACAGGCGGTGTCAATATAGTGCTGCTTATAAAAGGACAGTTGTCCCAGCCGCAGGGTCGTTAACCAACATTGCTGGGCGGGACTTGGGCGTGGACGAAAAAAATGTGTGTCACTGGAGAGGTTGCAGCGTGAGACGACAATCCATGAATTTTGATAGTGCGCTATTTTAAGAAGTGCGACATATGCAATGAGCTTGATGGCACCGAGGATTGCGCACTGTTTGAAGCCAGCGAGGACGACTCGGAATAAATGTGGCATCGGACTAGAAGCAGCGCGAAAAATACGACAACACAGAAACACACATAGCAGGACTAGCGGCTGTATGTTTCTCAAGTTATTTGCACCATGAACCAACTGCTTTGTTTTATCGTCATGTTCAATAAATGCTTTCTCTTTGTGAACGCTGTCCTCGCTGTTTTGTTCGGCCTACATTCGAGGAAAGTTTTTTTTCCCCTGGGCTTCTGACTTTAGAGAATGGGTTTTAAACCGGGTTGGCCTAGATTCGAGTAAATACGGCATGTCATAGCTTTGTTGACCTGTGCCAACTGAGAAGGCTTTGAGACTGGGGACTGCACACTACAAGCTTACCACACACCTCAAATGGTGGCCAATGTCTTCAAGTGCAGTAGAGCACTCCAGTAGTCACCAAATATTGCCAGCGCACATTTACAAGAAGTGGGGACCGGTACGTGCTAGTACCGGTTTCTTTATACGCTTTATTTTTCTTGCTTGTTATCCAGCATAGCCGTGCGCCAGCCTGAAGCCAGAATGTGTTGCGACGAAAGCATAAGACAGGTGAGTGCCGCATTCGGGCCCCCGAGAAAGTCTGGCGCCAGCCGTACGGCCACGCGGTCGTCTACTGTGTTTGAGTGATCTCTTTTTCTTACTGTTAGGGCACAAGCATGCGCAATCAATTCTCCTTAAGTTTATTAGCGACATTGTCTCCGTTTCATCCTTCTCGGCGCCGGCAACCTCACCGTCACCTACGTGACAATACCATGCTAAAGTGCAAGCAGAAATCAAACAATTTTTTTCGTTTGCCACTCTACTGTGGCTGCTGATTTAGATGGAATCTAAATAAGAACATGGATGTCTGCCACCAAGTACGAGTGCCTGAGAGATAAGATGAATAACAAGAAAAAAACAGAGCTTCGAGTATCATATTGTGACCATTTGCTTTCCCTAAATAAGCAGAGCTGGCCGGAAGGCACCTGAGCTTTTGAGTTACACTTTTATGAGTCGCAGCAACTGCTTTAGCAGCTGAATAGCTCAAGCTTTTGCAACAGGAATTGCTTTTCAAGAAGTTAAAAAATAAAAGAGAAACAATTATGAATTTTTTTTCCGTAAATAAAGATGAAAGTTCAACAGGTGCCCCCACTCCTTTGGTAATGTCTAGTCCCTTTGATTCAAGCTTTTACAATTTTAACTTGACAACCATGCAAATGAAATTCGAATTAACAGGCTTAGGATATTCCTAACACGAAAGACGTTCAGGAGACTAAAGTTCAACACTTTACACTCTTATTACCACGTAAAAAAACTTTCAACACACCCAGGCACACCTACCTCGGTCAGTTCGTCTGGCAGAACGGAGTAGTCCACCTCAATCTGGCCTTCCCTCTCGTACACCTTGGTGATGCTGGCCTGGGAAGCGGCCACTTCATCGCCTCCTGCTCCGTCATCCGTCTGGGCCGTGGCGTCAAGGTCCTCGAGGTTGCCACGCACCAGGCGCAGGGGGATCTGCTCCAGTTTGCACGCCTGGAAGACACTGTGGCGGTCCTGGCGCCGTTGCTCTTGGCGTGCCTCTAGGGCCGTCAGTGCCTTTTGCACGCTCGCAATTTCCTTCTGCACGGCCGTCAGCCGCTTGCGAATTTCGCCCATGCTCTCCTCGGCGGCGTCTAGCTCCTGTTTCTTGCTGATCTTGTTGCTCTTGAGTTTCTCCAGAGCCTGCACGGAGTTGTGGTAGCAGTCACCCAATAAACATCACTGTAGTCATGAAAGACAATATTTGGGTCAGAAAGACTAAGCTCAGAGAAAATTAGCAATTTATCCTAACACAAACACAGTGCTCACAAGCTGAAACTGTAAAGATCACTAACGAAAATGTGAACAAAAGCAAGTACTTCTTTATGGTCACCATGAGGCAGATGGAGAATACTGTCTTAGGTGTGTTCCATATTCTGCACTACAAAAGTGCCTTAAGGCCAACTTCGGCCGTTTTTCGAGGTCAATGGATCTCAAAATTCACTGGGTTCGTTCATCTGCACGTTTGCGCCATTCATGCTGTATAGCAGGCTTGAGAGTTTCGCAAATTCTTTCGAAATGAATTTTATAGCTTGCCTCAAAACACTGACCTCGCTTGCCAGAATTAATGGCAACATTGTGTGTGTAACTGAGTTTTGTCTGGCGGAAGTGACAAATCTGATGTGCCACTACAGCGTGTGCTTGTCTGCTATAAAGTGCGTGGGTTTGGCCAGGCGCTTCATTGGTTGAGTGTACGATTTCCTTTTCCGTGTTGGTGGGCGTGCGATAGGTGGCAAGTGGTGTTGCGTTGTGAGCCACACACGATTAACCATATATTCACTATAACAGCGTAAGCGTTTTAGCCAATCACCGACGGCGACGTGGACAGGTTGTGCCATCTGGCGGGCGTTATGAGCCATCAGGCAGGTTCGGGAAAATGATTACGTCACACGTAGAAGCGCACTCGGTTGGGTTTCGGTGTTGCATTTTTTTGGTAATCAAAAGTTATCTCCACATTTGTCGAGCATTTCAGCTATTGGGCGCCTGACAAGAGTGTCTCAGGAACATAAAGTGCCATTATCCTGGCATGGTAAAAAAAATCGCCAGAGTTGGCCTTTAAGGGGGTGACACAGCTTTCGTATGAAGAAAAATGGCAAAAAAATATTTTTTTTATTATCAAGTTTTCAGTTTCTGGAACCCTTTTTTCTATTTGATTTCAAAATATCTACACTGAAAACCGGCCAGAAGTGCTTGGAAAAATGTCTCGCCCTCCTAGGTAGCAAAAATTATTCTGAAAATCACGAGAAAACAGCAATTTCACCGTAACAAGGTTATAGCTTCGTGGTGGTGCAACTGGGAGCCAGCTTCTTGGGCTCATCGGAAGGAGCATTTCTCCATGTTCAAATTCCCCACTTCAGCTCGCTCCTCCATTCATAAAGAAGCGTGCAAAAAGCAAACACATGAGAGACAATATGACGCCTTTGATTGGCCGCATTCACCACGTTGCTCCGGCTCCCATCGCCATTTTCTGATGCTCGCTCAGGGAGATCGTCTGCTGTTTGTGCGTTGCGAACATGGCTGTCGATGTCGCGCAGACAACCGGGTGGTGCGACATCAGAGTTGATCTTTACCCTAACTCCGCTGACGACGAGACGAACCTCGAACTTTGCAGGCAAGAACAACACACTAGTACCATCGTGACAATGCGCTTCTTCGCAAGTAACGAAGCACATCGCTCGCTGGCTCCTTGAAACCACGGATGTGCATTTTAAGCACTAGTAACGGACCCCACAGTCAAGCTCATCAGACCCCTCCCCCCCCCCCCCCCCGCCAAGGATTGATCGGAACGGCGGCTAGAACTCGAAAATGCAATACCAAGTGCAGTGCGTGCCGATTTTTGGTCATTTAGGCTTAACCTTTCGCACATCATCATCGAATGCCGCCGCCAAGTACATCACGCACCAGCTGCACTGTCTCCGCGGCCGCGCATTTCACGGTCATATGGAGTGCTGTCAATAAACTCTAATGATGTGATTTAGACATGCTTGGAGTTGTGCTTGGTATCACCAAGAGCGTCTATGAACGTTCTGAAACAATGAAAGCCGCGTACATTAGCGCTTCTGCAACTGGCTGTACGATGATGCGTTTCACTGCTAGAGTCACAAAAGAACATGAATAAAGCAGGGGAACGAATTTTTAACTGCCCGACTTGTGCCATTAAATAAACTGCTAAAAAATTCCTGTGCCACCAGTTTCCTGCCCATAATTGCTCGTTACTTGAGAAGAAGGCATAGAATGCCATGGTTGGCGCTATTTGCTGATGCAATAAACCTCTCTCTATAAAAGAATGTTCAAGTTGTTATTTGTAATCAAGAAGTACTTAATTATGCTCATTACAGCTTGAACACAAGAAAGGTGTGTAATCGTTTCAGTATATGGCCTTATTCAAATGCAATCTTTTCTGTCATGCTTATCACACCACTCCTTCATACATAAGACTTTGGTTTGAAATCTATACTTATTCTTTGTAGATAAAAAAAAAGAGGTTATGAAAAAAATGGCAATGAGGACACACTGGGGAGAGGTCACATGTCCGAGAAGTTAATATCACCAGACAAACCAAAGGTGACAGTTTTTAGGTGTTCTAGAGACGTAAAGAGAAGATGAAACTGTAAATGCAGTTTTCTCAATACTGTCTTTTGGCATTTTGCTCAGCTCGTGGAGCAGATATCTTGGCAATCACTTCAGAGATTTTAATTCCATTAGTTTTGTAAAGCTTCTTGAACTGTGCTTCAGGGAGCTGCAATCTTAATTTTTTTATTTTACTCCTTCAAGACTTTTTCGCAGGACTTCTTGTTTGTAGAACAAGTGTGCTCATTGCAGTGTCGCTGGGAAAAAATGTTAACTACATTATAGACTGCTTATAACGCAAGTCGCAGGAGTAGGGAATACCAGCATTATAATCAGCACCGCACTATAACCAAAGCAACCTTTTTCAAGGGCTGCAGCTTCCCAAAATGTGTTGAGCATGCAGCCTCGCATGTCCGAAAATTGCAGCATGCGATGCGTGGTGCTTACAACCATTCAAATTTCCAAAGATTAAAAAAAAAAAGAGCTTCCAAGGAACCGCATTGCCAACAAAATGAACACGAAATGGGGGAGTCTAACAAAATAAAGCAACATCGCAGAAATTTGCCAACTATTTCTCAGACCGCCTCGATTATACGCATTACACGGCAACTATATGTCGAATCACATCTGAAATCTCACGTGCTGAAAGACACCAATCGTGTGATTTCTCGGGCATGTGCCCGATTTCAAAACATCGTAAACATCGAATTGCGAACCACCATTCAGTGCTACACTGCCACCCTCGTTTTCATTAACGATATCTATCCCTTTTCTTCGAGTGCAGCCATTGCGAGAAGTTTTGTTGATTCTGTACCAGACCGCAACTTGGCACGCAACAGCTACCGAAATGCAACCAACGCTGATTGAGCCTAGCCTGCAATTTAGTATGCTGTCACGTGAAGTTTGTCCAAAACTTGAAGATTGGGTGTCGAAAAGATCGCACTTAGGCTGTGGTGTACACGTATCCCGAAGGAGTACGGCCACCAGCGTGGGTTCGGTCTTAGCGAGCCGCAGGGCACGCGTTAACCGTCGCCGTGGCGGGAAACACGATACTGCTCAAGTCGCAACACTTTATTGTGGCAACACCAAACGCAGTACAGCCCGTTGCAAAAAGGCGCGGCGGGAAAGCAAGTAGGCTTATCCACGCCACGGGCACAAAGTACTACACAGGGGTGCCACGAGCACGTCTCCGCGGTAAAGGTGATCCACGGAGACACCGGGACAAAGGGCCCGGTTGCTCGAGCGAGGGCAAAGGAGCTCGCGTTGGCTTCGGAGGGAGACGGGTCGGCGTAGCTAGGCCACGCACTAGGACACCGTACTGCCCTTCGGCCGTGAGTACGCAGCGGGGCAACAAAAGGTGAGCGTTCGCATCGGGCGCGAGGCGCCGTCGGCGAAGTCCGACGAGCCCCGAGCGACGGGACTCGACGGACGGAAAAGAATGCGTGGCTCACCGTTTGAAGTCCCGGACTGTATCCGACCGCTCCCGGCGCAGCCCGCGAAAACCTCTCGCGAGTCCCCGCGCGCGGCGCCACAGTCCACATCCGCTTCCGGGTGAGGGAGTTAAACGTCACTCCGCCCTTCCCAGCGCGGCAGACAGCAAGGAGGGCAGACATGTCGGGACATGAGAACGGCAGAAAAGGTGGGAAAGCCCGCTTAAAGGCAGCGGGCCAGCCTCAATTCCCACAAGGCACTGAAGCAAGAACAGCGTGCGTGATTCGAAGTTTGCGTCTGCTGTTGGGAGATGAACATCGAAAAGCCACGAAGCTTATGGGAGGCTGCGAGGTGGCAGCAAAGGCTCCTGTGATAGAACCGTAAAAGCTTTCAAATTCATGGACCAGGTAGCTAATGCGATACCTGTAACAAGCTCGATAAAGACGCTAGACAGGAAAAAAGGAAGAAATTGCACGTACCATGCAAAGCCACGCGCAGATGGGAGCAAGCGGCCGGAGCCACGCCAGCCACGCTAGTACAATGCAGTCGCGTCGGCGCTGGTGCAAAGGCTTCCTGGTCAACCGCCCTCAGCGAGCACACACAGCATGCCGCAGCCTTTTTTACAGTCTTTCTTGGGGACCTTCGACAAAAAAATTTTGGTCTGTCTGTCTGTACATTTGTCTGTTTGTACGCCCTAACGATACCTCAAACGGCATTAAACGGCCAACCCTATCCGCACAGCCCACCAATATTGCTCAAGGTTTAGCTCTCATAGCTGTGCGATTGTCAACTAAAAAGCAAATATTGCACATATCTGAGGTGCCATAATAACACGTCTATGTTTTGTATATCTGCCTTTATACTAGAAGAGGCACACACAGGTAACTCTAAAGACTGTAGCACTTATCGGGCTGCGCTGGCAGTGCAACACGATGCTCAAGAAGGGGTTTCCAAAGTTTTGCTACGACGACACGGTGGTGGCACCTGCCCATCGCTTTGCGTTCTACACTTTATCACCTCAGAGACTGGCGCGCATCTTTCTCCTCGGTCGCGCGCGCCTTCGTTTTCGAAGATAACTGCCAGATGGCACTTGTGTCTAACGTGCCTAGATGCGCTCGTTCGCCTCCGCTACACGCTCGAGG